TAATAATAGATTCAATTTATAGGGCACTTTACATTTGTAAATCTCAAAATGCTACATCACAAAAGTCATAAACGCAACAGAAATAAATAACTAAAATTCCATAAAATCAGTTAGCAAACACTATGTTGAGCAGGCTATAAAAGGCAGAACAAAGATGGTTAAGAGCCAGTTTGCATCAGAACAGTGTGAGTCAAAAGTCACAGGACACCCTTTTATTTTGATTTAATTTTGCAACTTTTTAGATATAGTGGCCATGTTCTGGACATAGCCTAAAGCAGTGATTTCCAAACAGGGGTACGTGTACCCCTTGGGGCACGCGAGCATATTACAGGAGGTACGTGGAAAAATTTCCCAGGTGTGTTAAAAAAAACTAATAAAAATAGGACTGGGATACGTACAGCCCTATGAATGCGTAAAATGCAGACGGAATCACAGAARTGACACAAAARYACAGAATCCAGTATAAAARATGGAATCTTATGGAATATGCTWATTTGGGTGAGTTTCAGATGTARTTTATGCTGCTGCTTCCTTCACCTGCCATTACTTGGTTTATTTATTTATTATTATTTTCAAGGRAACATTTTTATCTTTGTTTAATTTGAGTTGAAAAGGAAAAAATGCATGYGAATTAAATGTTCTAGGGAGTTAAATAGATTATTTTCATTTAATAATCAGCTGTAGCACATTATAGTTTTGGAGAGTCATCATTACATTTTACTGAGGGAGTACTAGTGGTATGATAAAATGGCTCAGGGGCTACACAAGTCTAAAAGGGTTGAGAACCATGGGCCTAAAGGACCGGCCAGTATTCAGTTCAGTCCTTTTCCCCTTTCTCCCTTGTCCTGGGTCTTATGAGTCAAAAAAGGTGTCCTGTGACTTTTGACTCACTCTGTAGATAAGTTAGCTTAGTGTAGCACCTTTAATGTGGCTACAGTAAATAGTTACTCTAAGACCAGTACAAGGTTCAGCTATGGGAGCAGATAATAGATGTAAWTGTAATAATGACCGCAGACCAGTGAATAACTTTGAACTGCCGGCTTATTATTTAGAAAAAATAAAAAAATTAATTTACAGTTTACACACACAACAAAATTTCAAAAAGAAAAATAAAACTGTTCCCTGTCTTTTCCTTTGAAATTTCAGCTATAAACCCCTTTTTTATGTTTAACCTGATGTAGGTCCTAAAGGGATAATGTTTCTCAACCTAGGTTATTGTTCTATTTTAAGTTGCTGTTTATCTGTTTTGACGTACAGTTTTATATTGTATTGTTTGAGTTAACTCTGTATTCTTTCAGAAATCAAGTTCTCTAAATCTCACTTTTAACCACTTCTTTTCAAAAAGGTTCACATCTCAACAACACTTTAACAGCATTGAATAGAAAAAAAAAACAATAAAGTAAAAACAGAAATTGATTCAGCAAAAGACTGAATAGACCCTTAAATCAAATTGAATGTCCTTATCCTTTTGTGAACCCGGAAAGATTAGTGTCATGTCTCTGAGTCCACTGCTATTTTAGCAGCAAAATCGGGTGAATCATACCAGTTCTGATGAAAACAACATCCAGCAGAAGAGTGCAGCTCCTACTGGTTCAAAGGTCAAGGGCTCTCTGGTTGGTGGCTCGCCATCTCAGTTCTCAATCCCGACATCCAACTCGACATTCAGCTCGATTTTTCCCGGTCCAGTTTTCCAGTAGAACTTTAAAGGCCTGGTTTCATAACCAGTAAGTGCAAAGAAAGGTCTGTTCAGCTAATTTGATACTAAATAAAAAATACACTCGCCAAGATGGCGGCTGAACATCCTAAGAGAAAACCATACTTCACCTAACATTCATTCTCACAATTTCTTTTGACATAAACAACATAAATATGCTAACATAGDTTTCCATCTTAACAAAAGAAAATACATCATAAATAAAATAACTCACAGAAAGTAAAATGCTTTTTTTTAACTCATCAAGTCCAGTTCAGAAATATATAATATCTCCTGAAGGCAAGAACAGGTTGAAATTATGCAAAAACAACTCCTTTAAAAGACAAAAAATCTTTACATAACATTTATAGACTCTTTACTTTTTAGTTTCTCTTATTTTTTTTCTCTTACACAGCAAAACTTTCCTCCATCAACCTCGTGCTTTTCTCTAACCAGGAAGAAGAAACACCCGGTTGGCTAGAACTAGTCACATAGGTCACYATGCAACGTGACCCTTCAAAATAAGAGTCTTCACTGACAATATACCATTTTTAACACTGACAAAATAGGACTAGATTTTTAAAAGCTTTTTAAACACAAATAAAATATTATAAGCATAAAATATAGCTTTTCTGACACTTCATTTCACAGTCTTTTTTGTAAGTTTTTCTTAACTGTGTCCTGATGCATCTCAGTAATCCAGGTAAAAAATCAAAAAGAAAAAAATWGTATAGGTCTTCTGGACGGGTTCTTCTCTAATGAAACGTTTCGTCTCTTCTCCAAGAGACTTCTTCAGTCTGAGAAGAAAGACCGTCCATCATTAAACAGAGGTGGAGGCCTCCGTTTTCAGTTGTCCCCCTCCTACAGCGCGGCTATTGCCAGTATCACTCCACCCCCTGTTAACAATAAGTGTTAATTAGGTGTCAACGATAGCCATGTGATGTGAGTATCAGTCACATGGAGGCAGGGCTTAAAAGCCTGAATTTTGCCTGAAACTCTCAGACTGAAGAAGTCTCTTGGAGGAGAGACGAAACGTTTCATTAGAGAAGAACCCCTCCAGAAGACCTATACAATTTTTTTCTTTTTTCTTAACTGTGTTGATCTGTTTATTGTTCATCATTTGCTATATGTTTTTATGGCTACTTTTATTACAGCTCATTTTCATTGAGGGCTATTTTGACCAGGGTTACATTAACTTAGCACAAAAAAAACAGTCCAGGCAAACAGCTGAATTTGCTTTGCTATATAGAAATATTCAGCCTAACCCCTCTAAAGCTCACATTTCATCTGATTTGTTTCATACGTACAAAAACTCAAACACATAATGATCTTATAGGGGATATTTTGTGCTGGATTATTTGGTGATGTTTTGTTTATTCGAAAGCTTCAGAGTGTGTGCGCAGGACGTCCAGTGGGACGGGCGTCTGTTCAGGTGGAGGTTGTGCCTCTGCGACTGCCTGGCAGACAGACAGGAGCTGGCCAGATGTGGAGCGCAGCTCTGTGAAACAGATTAAACTACGACAGCTGAGGAGAGCCAGGCTGAGCTGAGCAGCCTGCTGTCTGTGCTCCACATTACACTGCCCTCCTTTAACTCACCATCAGCTTATCTGGGCAGCAGCAGCTGCTCACAGCAAAACAAAGATGCATTTTATTTTTATGCAGCTTTAAACACACCAAAAATTATGAAAACAATGTTGTGAATTTTGTGGCAAATACTTTTTTTTTCTCTCTGGAAGCACAGCTATCATCTTTACTTATCCTGGTATTTCAGTTTATGTTGACTAGTGAGAATGTCAGAGRATAAGTTGTCTTCAAACAATGAGATAATAATGCTGATAATCTTGTGTCCTGCTCCTGCTATTGCTGGATAATACAGGATTAGATTTGATATCATTTTATTGGATTGATCCTGCATCACTGTCCTCATAATCATAAAATATGTAGCCTTTAGAAAATGTGAAATCCTATCAAAACTGCATTACGAGTGAGAGAGCTGTCACAGGCAAGGCATAGGTGAGCTAGCTTTAATAATATGTGCAGAAAACTATAGTTTTACTGCTTTTTCTACTGAAACATAAAGCAGCTGTRATCTTCACAACAGCAAGAACATCTGTTACTTCCCTGATGCTTTGTATTTTCATCCATCCATCCATCCATGCATCCATCCATCCACCCATTTATTTTCTGCTACTTGTTCCAGAGTCAGGTTGCAAGGGTAGCAGCTTGAGCAGGGTGGCCCAGACATCTCTTCGCTCAGACATCTCCTCTCTAGAAGGACTCCAAAGTGTTCCCAGGCTAGCTGATAAAGTCTCTCCATTGTGTGTCCTGGTACGTCCCCAGTTTGACATGCCTGAAGCACCACCTCAGGGGTTATCCTTACCAGATGTCCGAACCACCTCAACTGGCTCCTCTCAATGTGGAGGAGCAGCGACTCTAGTCTCTTCTGTACAACTGAAGCTTTCACATTATTTCCAAGGGAGAGTCCAGCTACCCTGTGGATAAAACTAATTTCAGCTGTCTGCATTTGCGATTTTTCTTTCTTTCAGTCACTACCCAAAGATCATGGCTATAGAAATGCAGACCAACCAGTAAAGACAGAGCTTCGCCTTACAGCACAGCTTCTTCCTCACCCCAACAAACCTCCACAGAGTCCACAACACTGCAGATGCTGCACCGACCCGTCTGTGAACTTCATGCTCCATTCTTCCCTCACTTAAGAACAAAACCCCATCCATCCATCCATCCATCCATCCATCCATCCATCCATCCATCCATCCAAAATACTTGAACTCCTCTAATTGAGGCAGAACCTCAACCTCAACTTGATAAGAGCAATCCATTCTTTTCCAACTGAGAACCAAGGACTCAGATTTGGAGGTGCTGATCCTTATAAGTGAGACCTTTATTGTCATCGTACAGAGAGCACAATGAAATTATTATTATTATTATTCTAGTCACTTCACGATCAGCTGRAAATCACTGCAGTGAGAGTTGAAGATCACAGTACGATGACTCCAACAAAACCACATCATCTGTAAATAGCAGTGATGGAATCCTGAGGCCACTGAACTGATCTAACTCTGCCCCCTGGCTGAGTCCATGAACATTATACAGATGTGCTGACATTAGGAATTGTGACGTTGTACTGTTTGTAACATTGAGKCTTTCCTTTTTAGGAGAAAATTAGTCTCTCAGAGGGCAGCACGGTGGATCTGAGAAAACCTGGAGAAGTAGAGGATGATTTATCTGAGCTAGCTGAAGATGGTATGGAGCCAGAGGATTGCTTTCCTAAACGTGAGTGTGAAATTCAATTTGAGCTGAGTGTTATAAATCTACAAAACCTCGTCCTAAATTGTAGGTTAAAAGCTGCTGCCCACTGTTGTGTTTTTTTTTCTGTCACATTATTTGATATAAGCTGATTTGTTCTGACCAGTGTGCCTGAGACACTGTGAGTGCTGCAGCATCGACACCAGCCAGGGTCTGGGTCAGGCCTGGTGGAGGCTGAGGAAGACCTGCTACCAGATCGTGGAGCACAGCTGGTTTGAGACATTTATCATCTTCATGATCCTGCTCAGCAGTGGAGCTCTGGTGAGGCTGCAAATTCTCTTAAACGTTATGCATCTGGCTTCAAGCTGTTTTATTTCTTACACATCAGAATTTAGACGGTAACAGACTAATAGTCAATAAATCAGCTCTATAAATAATGTGTCCTGCAGATGTTACCGATGTGATAAACAGGTTGGAAAATTTATGAGTTGAAATCCTGGTTTGTTTTTATGCTCAACCGGCTGCAGTGGTGGCTGTATTGATTTCTTTTTTCTTTGCAGGCATTTGAAGATATTTATATAGAGAGGAGAAAAGTCATAAAGGTGGTTTTGGAATATGCTGACAAAGTCTTCTCCTACATCTTTGTCCTGGAGATGTTTCTGAAGTGGATTGCYTACGGCTTCAAGAAATATTTCACCAACTACTGGTGCTGGCTCGACTTTTTGATTGTAGATGTAAGTGAATATTTTACTGCCTTTCATGTATTCAGTTAAACCAGGGAAATTCCAGGATGTTTTTTTGGACTTATTGTATCATAATATTATCATAATATCTCTTCTCTTGAATTTCTGGAGTTTGGTGACTCCSAAATTATTCTTAGTAAAGACCTTGATTGTTCTTTTTGTTTTGTTTTTTTGAGAAGTTGAGTATTTCACAAAAATCTACCTTTTCTTGCTTCAATTTTAACAGACTAAGCAACAATTTAGGGGCTCGACCTCTTTCTCTGTTGTTTTTGTGCCAAAAAATAGTCAGCAGGGGCGGAGCCAGAAGGGTGGCCAGCGCTTGCCACCCCTGGAACCTGATTGGTCACCCCAGTTAATTAAAAATTAACTGCGTGTAATATTAAAAGTGTGCAGTTAGACTAAAATTATTGGTTTGTATATTTGTTTTGTAAAAACAAAATTTTTTTATAGCATGTTATACAATTTTTGTTTAAAAATAACCAGTGTATTTCACTCACAGATCACCTGTTTGCTTCAGTTTGCTAAAAGTAATTTGAGTCATATTTTTAATAGAGGATCTGTGCYTTGATGAAGACTGCAATGTCCTTTAGGTTTCAGGTTCGCATAACAGAATTTTTTCCTTTATTTGCATGTGACCCTCCACTTATATTTTGATGAAATAAAAGGGGTTCACCACTGCAAACACTAATGCTAATTATAGTAAAAAAAACAGACATGTTTGTAGTAAATGCATGCAGACCTGTAAATATCCAAATCAGCCKAGGCATGCAGCCATAGGCCTGACCTGACCTCTGATTTTACCTGCTGTTGCACAGATTTCCACAGATCGTGCTATTGTTAGGGTAAGTCATAGRTAGCCAGTCCCAGATGAGTTTGAGATGGGAGACCTGCGTCTACATCACAAAAAATCTGTATGTCTTCACATGTAAGAATTTTATTGTGATATTAAAAGCCACTGTTTTAATTCCAAACAAATTATTGAATATATGATTAAAAAACAAACAAAACTTAGCAAATTGTTCTTGGAAATAGTGACTTTGGCTTTTATATCAAAATCAAATGCAACACCATGTGCTATAAGGCTTATCTACAGAAGATCTTATACACACTGTAAAGTACACCAAACCAGTAAAATGTATWGTGTGAAAATGTTTACTCCTATTTTCCTTTGTAGGAATATACCAGCAAAATTTATATTTATTTTGTTATGTTTAAATTATATTGGTAAATTTGTTTAAAACATCCTAATATAACCTTATCTTTTTGCCTATAAAAAWGCTACTTTACTTTTTTAATCATCCTTATGCTCTTTTACAACTGTACTTACTGRAGAGCTGAGGTGTCTGTTACTCAGAAAATAAAAATTTAATATCTTCTTTAGATATATGGGATCAACACATCTCTAAATAGACTTTTATAAAGAAATGCAGGACATTGGGCTCATACAAGCCCTTAAATTGGTTTCAATTAATGTATCAATTGAATTGAAAACAAATTTGACACAAAAATTCTTTATAAAACTCACTCTATTTAATATATATACATATTTATATGTATATATAGCTGGGTATGCATGTATGGAAACTGTTATATGTGCATACTTGTCTGTGTTTTGTCATCACCAACCATGACATGAGCTTCCTTTGTTTGTCATATCCAACATTTTTCATTCACAGACATCATCCAAGGGTCATTCAACAGCAAGATACCATTTTGTCTTGTCTGTTTTGATTGTAGAATAGAGTGGAAGTCTGAATTTGCTAAAAGACAATATTAAAATAAACCAAATTAAACCAAACCATCAAATTTATTGGGTGTGTTTTTAACTGTGGAATGTCCCAAAACACACCAGAAGAAGGCTCAACTTTTTAAAAGCTGTTTTCAAAAGTATTATTTTTCTTTATTTCTGTATTTAATTGTGATGATTTTGTCCAGCTATTTTTCATAAAGCTTTAAATAGTACTGATTTAAGTAAAATGATCATGTGTCAGGAAGTTCAATAACTTGTCTGTACTCCATTCAGGTSTCCCTGATAAGTCTGGTAGCAAGTTCACTGGGATATTCAGAATTCTCAGCCATCAAGTCCCTGAGGACCCTCCGGGCTTTGAGACCGCTCAGAGCTCTGTCCAGATTTGAGGGCATGAGGGTGAGAAATAACTTTATAAATTTATATTTTTCTGTTGTAGCTACACTACCAGTCAGAAATGTGGACACACTGTCTCATTCATTGTTTTTATGGTTTTCTTTTTTCCTACATTGGGAGTTGGTACTATGGTCATTCAAGGAACACACAAGGAGCCATATGGTGAACTTGGATGTGTTGAACAATCTAGAATATGTTTAAATTTTGGATTTTTGAAGGTGGGCACCTTTTGCTTTTATTGTAGCTGTGCACAAGCTTGCCATTTTCTCAATCAGCTTCATAAGGTCCTGGAATCACCTGGAATGATTGTCCAACAGTCTTGGAAGTGTTTCAAGGAGTTCAAAAGAATGCCAAAAGTGTGCACAGCTGTGAACCTGCATAAGAGGGTGTGTCCAAACCTTTGACTGGTAATGTACAAGTGAAAGCAGTCCATTATATTAGGGCAACAACAAAGGTTTGGAAATGTTTATTTCTAAACTTTTGACATGGCAGTTATATAGTGCCTTTTTATTCAACGAAGATGCTCAAAATGCTTCACACTACAATTTGTGTCCTCATTTAGCCATTCACATAGCACTCGACTACAAATCTAATCTAGATAATTCTATGGAGACAAATCTGTGCTTTAAATCACATTCATACACTGATGGGACACATCAGAGGCAGTGGGGGTTCAGTGCCCAGGAACACGTGACTGAATAATGATGGAATAGAACCACCAACTCTCTCATTTTCCAAATCAGCAGAACTCAGTTGTCTTATTGAGTTTCAGTCAAACTGTGTAGTAAGTAAGTAAGTAAGTAAGTCAGTAAGTAAGTAAGTAAGTCAGTAAGTAAGTAAGTAAGTAAGTAAGTAAGTAAGTAAGTAAGTAAGTAAGTAAGTAAGTAAGTAAGTAAGTAAGTAAGTAAGTAAGT